TCAGCTGGGCCCACTCTATTGGTTGATAAAAATCTATTATGGTGACTCATCGACAGAAAAAAAAATCTAATTTGTCCTCTACTAGGACAACATTTCCTCAGATAATTAAAGACTAAAATAAAACATCCAAAGTAATGTAATTTTTCAAGGCCTGATGAGCTAAATTATGCCATTTGGTAAATGTCATGCCTTTGGACTGTCATTAGTTGATTTCTTTGCATTTGTGAACTGTGTTTGTATCTCATTGACTTTTTACAGGGGATTTCAACAAAGGGCATCTCCACATGCACTCCAGGTATTAGGAGACGTGCATGCGAGACGTCTGAATTTTAGTTCTTGCAGTTTTCCTGCTATTTGCCGTGCCGCGTGACTTCAAAGACGCGCTTTCACAGAGGCGTGATGGTGAAACCGGCTTGAAAGGGGCAGTGAGAGACTGTGCCTTCAGCTGGAAGTGCAGACTGACGTTAGATTTGGACGGACAGTCTGGATGCAATAATTTCAACAAGGACACTTCAATTTGAATACTGGCTTTAAGGTGTCACATCAGACATCACTTAGTTTGGAGATAATGAGGTGTAAAAGGTGCATGGGTAGGCACAAGTCACTTTCAGGCTGCTGGTTGAGAAAATGGGTTGCTGTGATAAAGCGGACTAGGAGGAATAGCAAGAGGAAATTGCAAAAATATGTCCTGTATCATTTTATCTGTCCGTTCTCACTTTTTTCTGGCATCCTGACCCCTGCCATCCTCTGTGCGGATGAGTGCTTCCTTACACTGTGGACCCTGGAGATTGAGGAGATTGGCCAGAGAACCCAGAGCATGAAACCAACTGATAATGAAATATGGCTGGGTTTCTTCAAGAACAAGATAAGGCCTGCTTCTCATCTCTGTCCCCGCTATCAGCCTCTCAAGATCTAATGCGATCCGTGGAAGAGGATGTGCCTATTTAAAGCCGTACATACAATACAAGCACATGAACGTATGATTATTAACATGATACATGGAAAGTTGCATCTAAAGTTGTGAATCTAAAAACATACACAATTCAAGCCAGCTGTCATTTCAACAATGTGAATCAATGTGAATCATTGTCTTTTGGTTGATTAACCTGTAACTTATGTCAGTGCTACCATTCCAATGACCTGAAAATGACTTTATGCATCTTTAAAATAAAAGTGGTACCTTTTGTGGCTAGTGTTGCAGCAGATACATTTTGCTTAACAGTGTGAGTCATGCAGCATCTGACCAAATGGCAGTATATACTGCACTGGAATGAAGAACATGTTCCATTACCAATAGAGCTGGGGTTCCCATAGTTTCTATGACCATGGGTGGATTTAGAAAGCTGGCAATGGTCATTTCTGGACATTAGAGTCAAAACTGATAATGCGTTTCTCTATTTGAATGATATAAACTCTTTATATCTTCTTCATCTTTCCTTGTCATGCTTGTAGGTTGTATGAAATGCTACACCCTGGCCACAGAACAAGAACTTATGTGGAATCACACAAAGAAGTAGCGCAGGCCATCATACTTTTAAAAACTGCACCAACCAGAGGAGAAAACTGAGGGCTGAAACACTAACGCTATTCGTTTTGAGCATGGTTTCTATGTCAGAGAACGCCATGTTTAGCTAGCTTGATTGTTAGCTATGCGTTAGCAAGCTACTGTAGTGAGGTAAGGCATTTAAAACAATACAGCGTTGACATATAGCCAATATAAACACTATATTTTTTGGTGTCTGTTTTAGCTAACTTCCATATTCAAATATCAGTTCTAGGCTAGACCTTTTTTTTTTAAAATGGTGACCAAAAGTGCAGTAATAGCATCTTGCAGATGCTATACTAGCTCATGCATTATTGTCTGTATCCACTTTTGTTCTTAAAGACTCAGTTCAGCAGGTTGCAGAAGTGTACTACAGAGTTTTTGCTATGCTCAACTTATTCCCCGTGTTATAGAAAAGGAGACACCTGGATAGGATTCAATGCAATTAAAAAGCAGTGTTTCCCTTAAAATGTGCACTGTATTTTTTCAGTAGGCTGAAGTGACCTGTTGCTCTAACATCACTGATTTTCTCATACCTCAGGCACTATTAAGTGATGAAGGCAAAAGCTGGAGCGCATTTTGATAAGTCTTTAAATGTTGTTTTGAATATACTGTTATTTACCTTCTTTAATACCAGGAAAGCAATATGGCCACAATTTAACACCTAGAGTTACCTGGTTACTACAGTAGGTTTGTATAATGGCAACATCCCAGGCATTTATTCATTTTTAGCCATTCTACAAGATAGCCACATTGCCTTTCTCCAAATGTTGCTGACGTAACAACATTTCCTTGCAAAACTCCAAAACAAAAAACAAGATCTATACAAAGACCTGCTGACAAGCCATTTCCCCCCCCCCACAGTGTATTTACTGAGTGACAATAAGACAGAAAGAATTCTGATGCTGTCTGAACTCTAGTGGAGGTCTGACAGTACTGCTGAGAGCAGACTAAAAGCTTATTGTGACAAACCAAAGGCAGTTATGAATTGTCTGTGCCCTCTGTGACTATTCCAAACGACAAACCCTAAAAGTTTCCATAAAAATGCTAATATGGATTATAAAGAGAGCCTCCAGTACTTTCCGTCAGCTGAAAGAGGCTATTATCTGGAAATTTAGTTGACATTAGTCCTAATATGGTTCCTGTATAGATTTTTTTCCCTCTTAAACTGTCAGTAGGTGAGGGAATTTCAACGGTAACAGCGTTTCAACAGTATAATAAGTTGTGTGTGGTTGATGGCGGTTTTCGTGTTCCAGCCACATCTAGGTTGATGATTGGCATGTTGAATCATCATCAGCCCTGTGTGTGTGTGTGTGTGTGTGTGTGTGTGTGTGTGTGTGTGTGTGTGTGTGTGTGTGTGTGTACTAAAAGCAGAGGAACTGAACTCCCCGCCACCGTCACATTGCATTACCGACTCAGTGGCACGGTATCATCACATCAAATTAGTCTTAATGAACACAAGCGAGTCGACTGAGGAGAGAGATAATCAAACTTTTATTAAATGACTTAATCTTCTGTACATGCATAATGCAGTGGAAAGAGAGATGGGTCTGTGGTGTCTGTCTACGTGGGGATGATCTTTACCCCAAAACATGTGAATGTATGTGGAAGCAGTGAGCCTAAAGATCATTTGCCACAGCGCATGAGATCACCGTGCACCTCCTCGCTGGGAGAGGAGCGGCTAAATAAAATAATAAAGTAAAATTATGCTACCATCAAAGCCTGTTCCCTTGAGTAAACAAAAGAGATGCATTTCAAACAGTATGCTCCTTCAGTTCATTTGGTTATCATACAAAAAGAAAATGCACTATAACTCACTCCATGCATTCTAGAAGGCAGAAAAACAGAAGTAAAATATGGAGTTACTTCTGTGTTATTAAACAGCAGGTTTACAATAAAGAAACTGTAAATATTAGACCTAAAATAGTTTAGGTGCAAGTAAAATTTATCATTTAAAATATTATTCCAAATGTACTGTTTACAAAAGCAGAAGCTTTGCTTACCGTTGACCTGAATCTCACGGGTCTGAGCTACAAAGAAATATGCAAGACACTTTTAAAGTAAAAGTTATGCCATCCATCCATCCATCCATTTTCATCCGCTTTGTCCGGGGCCGGGTCGCGGGAGCAGCAGCCTAAGCAAAGAGGCCCAGACCTCCCTCTCCCCAGCCACCTCCTCCAGCTTATCCGGGGGAATACCAAGGCGTTCCCAGGCCAGCCGAGAGATATAATCTCTCCAGCGTGTCCTGGGTCTGCCCCGGGGCCTCCTCCCGGTGGGACATACCTGGAACACCTCACCCAGGAGGCGCCCAGGGGGCATCCTTGTCAGATGCCCGAACCACCTCAGCTGGCTCCTTTCGATGTGGAGCAGCAGCTGCTCTACTCTGAGCCCCTCCCGGATGGCCGAACTTCTCACCCTATCTCTAAGGGAGAGGCCAGCCACCCTTCGGAGGAAGCTCATTTCTGCCGCTTGTATCCGCGATCTCGTTCTTTCGGTCACTACCCACAGCTCGTGGCCATAGGTGAGGGTAGGGACGTAGATCGACCGGTAAATTGAGAGCTTCGCTTTTACACTCAGCTCCCTCTTCACCACGACGGACCGGTGCAGCGTCCGCATTACTGCAGCTGCAGCCCCAATCAGTCTGTCGGAGATGTTGTGCCTTATTGCCGAAATCTACATGTTTCAAAAGGCTTAACTTTTATTCTAAGGCAAACGGTCTCCATTTCCAGTTTGTTTCACAACCGCTCTGCGAGTAGCTAGCAAATATTTGCAGATAACTCCTCTTCCAAGCAAACTACAGGGAACTACAGAATTCTGCTAGTGACCGAAGCAATTGCAAGGTTTTTTTTTTTAGTGTAGCAACATAATTCCTTGTGACAAATTTCACAAGACCTAACAGGCAACCTCCCACAACCACTTGCCAACCAGTCAGGAAATACCAATTTTTCTCTAGTTACTAGCCGTTCATCGACTGGTCTCTAGGCCTGTGTGACTGGGGCCTAAATAATGCTGCCCTACTAAGTGGCAACCAAAATATATGAGAGCCTATTTTTCCACATTTTATTAATGTACAGTGCCAGCCAATCGTTGCGTCTAAAAAGGTTACACACCCGGTCAGCATTCACATATAGCAGCAACCCTCTTCGTCTCTATGACAGGAAGTTGTGAAGAGTAAGGTGGAAAATAAGATCTCGATCTCACTGCATTAATCACGCAGTACTTGGACCTAGAAAATTAATGGTTTTACATCCACTCTATCAGATGAAAGTGACACATAGCCAGAACATTACATGGCTATATTCATTTAGACAGGTTTGTGGACTTTAAAGGAGAAACGATTGCTGGTGCTAGCTTTAGCCACACTCAGCTAACTGATCTAATATGTTGAAGTCAAGCCAGAAAGTGTTACATTTAGCACATTTTTAAAATATAGTCAGATTGCTGGAGAATATAAAGATTTTCAAATGCATCTTCAAATACTTTATTATTCTGATTTTTCCCCCCTCATATTTAAGTGACGAGTAAAATTAGATGCCGGGAACATCCCTGGTAAAGAGCACTGATACTCTGTTTTCCAAAAAATAGAAAATCAGTGAACATTTGTATCGTCTCAACTTCAGTACTTCAATCTTAGCATTCAATATCAATTGCTGCCAATTCATACAGCTCATTATAAAACCGCAGTCTACATGGAACAGGTCAGATGTAGCATCTTTGCTATGAAACTTTTGAATAAGCAAAACTTTTGAATTCATAAACAACTTTTAGATTTCCAAAAACGTTGGATTTACAAAGACGTTTTTCTTGCAAGAAAACATTTTGATCACAGTGTCTTCAGTTTTGCTCTCACAATTTTCAAAACTGCCAATTAATTCTGTTTAAACCGCATATTAAAGGCCCAGAACACTCAGTACTAAACATCTATTAAATATCACAAAGGCTGAACTTGTAAACAAGAGCAAAATATTTTTTAAGAAAATGAATCCACATATATGATAGACAAGGATTTTACCCAAAGATGTTTCATAAGTGTCAGCTATAATACTCAAGATGTCGACACTGAAATGAGTAAAGCATTTTATTGATATTATTTTTAAACTGATTGTTTAAATGGGATATATTCAAAATGCAAATTTTTTGCAGATTAGCACTTGTGGGATTAAGATGTACCAAAAAGTTATTGGAAGAAAGTAAATCTGGCACCAGTGTCCATTAATAAAGCACCAGGCTTTAACCATTTTAAAAAAAAAAAAAATCTCACATGCATTGCAAGGCACTATGCCCACTTTGGCTGCTGATACTGTAGCACTAATTATATTGGATTTGGTCCTAAACAGCAGCACTGCACTGGCTTCAGACACAATTCAAACATTGCAACAATGGAAATCTTTTTCAGTTTACCTGTGTGAGTATTGGGTGTAGTTTGTGGAGATGTTTGAAAATACTTTGTGTGCGCTTGTTTTTGTAGCACATACATTCAATGTATTTTAGCATCTTTTTTTTTTTTAATGTCCTTATCAGAAATGAAAAAAAATTAACAATCTAAATGGCCTATATACAATACATTTACATATAATATGTATAGGATAACCGAAAATCCCCACCACTCAGTTCAGCTTTCACAACAATTGGAATAATCCTCCTCAGATAGGAGGGATGCATTTTAAGGCTGTGCGCCTCAGATGACAGCTGATTTACAGTCTCACTCTAACAGACAAAAGACACAGATTCAAACACATAAAAGGTGACCCTGCTGGACTTGACCCAGAGCAGGAGGCTGGTTTGGAGAGGGGAGACGACAGAGTTGCTGGGCTGTTGTGCCGGATCTGGTTCTACCTCGTCAGCTGGCCTACCACTTTCAGCAGAGTCTTGTTCTCTTGTTTGAGTTGCTCGTTCTCATCTTCGATGTCATCCAGGTCCTGTGAAAAGGGCACAACACACACATATCTCTCTGTTTAGTTCCATCAGGACCCATTTAACCACATAAATATTCAAGACCCTGCCTCTATACCGCTGAGAGGCCTGATCAGGTTGTGGAGTGTTCGTCTGAGAGTTAAAATGAGCATTGCTTGCTGCCAGGTCCCCCCCCCCTCCCCTCCCCTTCCATTTGGGCTGCCTTGATAGCAACAAATTAGACATTAACAGCTTCAATTAGTTGCAAATGAGAGAAGCTCTAAGTTGCCACAGCGCTGTCTCATCAAAGTGACACTCCTCATTTTCGGTTTCTTCCATCACCGGCCATGATTGCATGACTGTTGGGAATGAGCTGAACAACACTTGGAGGGACTTAAAAAGTCAAATTAAGCAGGTCACAGGTTTACAACACAGCTTGCTGTCTCTGCGGCAAAAAAGGGACGTAAAGACTAACGTAAGGTGAGACACTAACAAGAGAGAGGTGGGGTTTGGTTCCCTTCTTTTGCACCAAGATGCAGATAACTTGATCTGCCGCTCACAAACGGGGTGGGAGGGGTGACTGTTGTTGTGAATTGGCGTCACATAGATACAGTTGATTTCAATTTTATTAGCAAATTTAAGACATTTGAAGACTTTAAAGACTCAAAAACATGATAGCTGTCACTTGTCTGTCAGATGCCTGTAACACATAGCTGCTTCCAGAGAAAAATCTTCAAAAGTTTAATGTAGACACTACAATCACCTAAAGAATCTAGTGCTGCATTAAGTAACAACTCTATACTGAGTAATAGTGATAAGCAAGTAAAAAGCTGTTTGCTAAGAATATTGTATCAACTTAGAAAAAGAAAAAAAGGACAATTATTGCAGATTTAACCTTTAGGAAATATAAAAGCTCTTTTGCTTTCTCATTAGATGAGCCCATCAGTATTTACTGTGTAAGCTTTCACCGAACACTCTGCAAGACTCTCTTTTCAAACCATATCAGTGGGGAGAAAGACGTCCAGCAGTTGAGCTTTATCTTTTCTTTCTCTCCCAAATAAACTTCTACAGTGACTGAGGGTTCAATTTTACTCTGCAGAGACGCCGACTGGATCAACTCTTATCTCCTGCTATAACATCAGGCCCTGCAGGAGCCTCTCTCAGGGACGTTTCTGATGGCTCGCTGCCTGCATTAACCATCCTTGGATAAATCACTTCTCTTATGGCCAACCTCTCCTATATGTGATGCTATCAGTATGATGCTTCCTGTATATTGTGCTCTTTTTGGGGTTTGCAGTGTGTTTGATAATGACAAAAGCATTTAGATAATAAGCAAGCAAGAAAAATGTACACCATTTTCCACCCATCAGACTCGTGATCCAGAAAACACAGTAAAAAGCTGCAAGTACAGAAGGTTTGGAGAGGTTTCACTACGGATATAAAGCCATCAGCCAACATGTTTCTCACCCTGCGTGCAGCATGAGGTGAAAGAAGGGGGAGAGAAAAAAAAACAAAAAACACACTCCAACCCATCAAGCCAAATGTGAAAGCACACCTGACCCCTGCTATTGGGTTCACTTTAGTGTGAAATGATCAGACTGTTATAGTTATGAGATCTGTCAAAAGCTCTTCTCACGATAATTGTAGCAGCAGCACTTATTATCGCTCGTCTTGCCATTCTCATGTCTTAACTGATCTTCCTGAGGGAGAACTGTTTAGTTCCTTTTTTCAGTGAGAAATGGGTGTTTTTTGTCTTTGTAAACACTCAATATTATCACCTCATCTACAAATGTGTTTTAACCCGATTTGAATCTCCTCTTAATAACCGTTCAGCCTATATAAGAGTTCATATTTTATTGACTTTGATTATTTTTGCCATGAAGATTTTACCAAAAACAGCATGCATCTCTTCATTGTTATTTCGAAATGGGCCTTAGTTTATGAAGTTACAATGAAATTCTTTTAACTAAACCCATTCTCATTCATAGTCATTCAAATACTACCACTTTGTCAATGCTACTGGGATTTCTGATGTAACCATAATGCATCTTGGCAATGACACCATGACACACACGTACGCTACAGCAATATTAGTCTCCGTAAGCAAATATTCTCACAAAACATAAGACCATTTCAGAGTTTGTTAACATGTGACATCAAAATGCTCCATGAAGGAAGACCAAGCTTCCAAATCTGAAAAGTTGGGAGTGAAAGTAGTAGTCATTATTATTTCTTCTGCTTTGCTCGTCACACAGTGTTGCAGCTAAAGAAGAGTGATTCCAGAGTGTACATTGGATATAGTAAGATCACCCACTGGGTCTTATTCTTATGAACTCTCAAAGTTAATAGACAGTCACTGCTATGCTGTTTATTTTTTAGAGCCAGATGTTACCTTAACGAGATGAGAAGCTGTGGATTGCCTAAGGTTACTAAAGTTAGTGAGCTTAGTTAGCAAGCTACCTTTGTAAACTGCCTAGATGCAAAACACAGACATACACCTACTAATAAGGTCAAAGTAAGAGTGAAATAAAATACTAGAAGTGTATTTGGAAAGATTGTTCCAAACAACTAAACAGCATGCCATAATATTAATTATATTATCAACCAATGGACTGTTATCCAAACATAATTAAGCCTTATACATTCCTGTGTGGTGTCTATGTAGTAGACTGGTTATCAAGCAACATGAAAAGCAACTCAATAATTAAGATAAATCTGTAATCAACAAAGTTAACCCAGAGGTGTAAGGTGAACTTCAATTTCATTTTTGAATGTGGAGCCCAACTGTGAAAGTCACTTTATAATAAATGGTTGCTGATTGTAATACCACAGTGATTGGCTGAAATTGGCTAGGTTGTAATTTACTGTTCATCTAGTTTGGCCCATGGCTGCATTTTACTGTTTTGATTTGACTGTTAAATGACACAGTAAAAAAAATCACTTTGGAAGTTTCAATTCAAAGGGGTTTGAACTGCAAAGGCCCAGTTCAGACTCGTTCTCCAGAAAGGTCCAAAAAAAACCCATGATGCAGATAAAGAGCGTGAACACAGCTGTTAAAAGTAATTTTCAGTGGACTTCATCATTTCTTTCTTTTTTGCTGTATTCAACAAAAACTACTTGCATAAACCGAATGAAAGAAGCCAAAGAGGACTGCTTATCCTTCACTGTTCATCCAAGACGACTCAAATTTAGGCTGACAAAAAAAAAAACAGCTCAGTGGTGACACCATGATTGACGAATCAGTTACATATGAACCTACCTGCCACACGGAGCAACAAATTTTAATACTTTCAACTACTTGTGTTTCAGAGTGTTTAAATTGCAAATTACAGTAAGTTCCCCCCATTGTGTTTCAAGTTATATAAATTCAAAACTAAAAAAGTATGTTTATGTCCAGCTTCTGATAGACTGCAAGAATAATCAGTGTAGAAAAACACATAGCTATTACACGCAAGGCCAGTAAAATGCCAGATGATGATTACAGCCCCCACAAGACGCCCACGCATGCAAACACAAAGGAACACTCAAAATATCAGACATCAGAGCAGAAAATTATGTAGGCTGTGCTCACTTGGTTCAGCAAGTCGATTTCCTCCTTCAGCTTCCCAATGAGATCATCTTTGTCCTGGTAGGCTTTCAGCAACCTGGCGTTCTCCTGACGCTCTCTGGCCAGCTCCTGAAAATGCACACAGATTGCACACATAGTTACATGAAAGGCAAATATTTTCACAAAGAAACAGTGCGTGGAATCTGCATTAAGGTGTACCAGGAAATCTGCCCTGTAATTAGTTTAGCTACACAAGATTTGGAATTTCATACATCGAAACAGTTGCCCTGGAGCATTGCTGTCTGAAGGGGAAAACAAAATGAAGTTAATCAAGATAAATACAACCCGAATCCAGTAAATTGGGAAAGATTGCAATGATGCAAATCTCTAAACTCATATTTATTCACAGTAGAACATAGAAAACATATCAAGTGATTAAAAACGAGACATTTTAGTGTTTCCAGAAATATATTAGTTCATTTTGATGATGAAAATGATCTTTAAAAAAAAAAAAAAAGTTAGGACAGGGGCAACAAAAGGCTGGAAAACTAAGGGTTGCTAAAATGAAACTGCTTTCTTTTTGGTGCAGTGGGGACCTAGGTTCACTAACATAGGTTTTCATAGGTGATTCTGAGCCCATGCAGCGATTTTGCATGGCTATTTTTAAAGCAGCAGCACCTGCGGACTCACAGTTTATGGCCAATGCATACAGAGATTACTCTGGATTCTTAGACTCAGACTTTAATGATATTATGAAACTCTCTTAGCACCCTTTGCATGTTCTCCCTGCGCCTGGGTGAGTTCTCTCTGGGTATTCAAGCTTACCCTCACACTCAAAAGGTATACTTGTTAGGTTAATTAGTGATTCTAAATTGGGTGTCGGGAGCGAATGAGAGTACGAATGATTGTCTCTCTGTCAGCTCTGGCTACCAGCCAGATTGCACCATGCCTCTTGCCCTGTCATACAGCTTGGATCGGGCTCCAGCACACCTGCAATCCTGAAGTGCACGGGCAAAGAATAAAACAGAGGGGTGGATTTTTTTTTCAAGTTGATGAACTATTTCATCAGAGCCACTCATAAAACTGAATTCCTTCCACTCATGAAAAACTCCCAGGGATGCTCCTTTTATACCTAATCACATTACTAATTAACTTTATTTGTTGCCAGATGTTGCACAACTCTCAGCTTTTTTTTCCTCTCTCTTTTTTTTTTTTAAATTGTATTTTTAAAATCAGTTTCTGAAAAACATGCGACTGCTTTTTATTTGGATCTTACAAAGGCAAAAGTGTAGAGTAAAAGTAAAAGTGAAGCAGCTACATTTACCAGTTATAAAAAAAGGAAACGAAACGAGCCTCTGCACTGGTCTACTGAAAGAGATTACTTTATTCAAACCATATTTTTACTAGCAGAAACATTTGGTATTAAAAAGGCGTCAAGAACAGTCAACTGCATTGACTTTTTGTAAGATGACATTTTTCCAATAATGTATGTAATTTTCTATTTCCCACTTCCACAGACTCTTCAAAAACCCACAATAATAAATCCACGCAGACTGTCAGTGAACAATGCATTAATAGTTTCTTTTATATAGTACTTTTGTGTTATTTTCAAATTGTACTTAAAAGCCAATGTGTTCTTGTCCGCCTCCTCTAACAGCCACAGTGAAATAATGGATATTGTGCCTTCCTGAGAGAGACGATTGTATGCACATCATAAACCGAAAGTTAATGTGCACACATTTTCAAACTGCTGCTATTTTATCATGGAAATGAAGATTAAACCAGGACTTTGTAGTTTCACTTTCTGGCTCTTCCAGATAATCATGAAATTGCTTAAATAAAAAAAATGTATTATGCAGCTACAGTAGATGGCAATAGTCAAAGCTGGCATAATATGACTTTTAAAGCTACCATAGATAAGTGCAGCATTGTATCTCCTCTCAAAGACACCTGAACAAACATTTGTCTTATTTCTTTCATAAAATACAACAATACCAGCTGAAATTCCTTTTCTTTTATTCTGAATGTCTGTCATCTGACAATAACAGCGTTTGGGAATACTGTCCATTGTGCAAACATTAAAAAAAACATACTGCACAAAATACACTGTGCCCCAGAACATTGTAAAGTATGGGTATCAAAAAAAATCTGTAAATATGGGTTGAATATGGAATTTTCATTGTATTTTCACTTCCCCAGGATGTTTCTTGCTTGCTAATATTACATCTGCTCAAAGCATTATGGGGACCAAAAAGGATGATGTTGGTTCTGCTTTCTAAGTTGCTCATTTTTATGTAAGAATCATTCAGTGAATTATTTAAAGTGGACAATGTTTTTTCTATTTTCTAGGACAGCATATATAAATAATCCTAAAATGCTCTGAAAGACATCAGTGAGATTGGTTGTCCTTAATCATCAAAGTTCTAACTTTTCTGTGAAAAGATATATACAGTCCATAGTGTGAGCTGACTGTGGGCTGTCCAGACTAAGCAGAGAGGGGCCGTAAAAGGAGGCCCCTACTTTAGGCCCACTGTATATCAACACTCTAGGCTTTGGCTGCCCTAGTGGTGCCCCATCCAGGGCCCACATGTGCCCCATGGTACATTACTGCCACCAACTGGTAGGAAGCGTTGACCAGAATGTTCTTCAAAGATCAACAAAAACAAAACAAAAAAGAGCTACTTAGACCAAAAAGCTACCACAGCAGGTACACACACTAGTTGCCCAAAGAAATTTTTTATGGTGACCCCAAATGGGCCCCACATGGGTTTTCAGTGGGCTACCTACAGTGGGTACCCACACTGAGCCAAAAAGGCAAAATTGCTATGGGCTCCACAATAACAAGCCTAAATAGTGCCCGCATGGGATTTCTGTGAGTAAACCCACTGTGGAATGGTTCACTGAATACTCATTTTGGGCCCTAAAGGGCAAAACAGCTGTAGGCCCTTTGTGGGGTAAGTGTCTGCGTGCCCTGCCCCCACAGCTACCCACTGAGAGCTTGAAGTCTCAGTGAAGTCTGAGATTTAGGTGCAGCTGTCTTATATGAGCAGACCTGCATCTGGAATGAAAAGTGAGATAAACAACAATGACAAAAATATGTGTGAAATATGATTTCTGGACACCCAAGTGACATTTGATTCCAAGTTGAGTTTCTACAGTGGGAGCAGAGAGAGGCTGAGTGGCTGATGGGAGCTGTGCAGGAAGAAAAGACATATCTGTACTGAGAAAGGTCATCTATTCAACAACACTGAGGAGAATTTCTGTAAGTGCAGAGCCACAGTTTCCAGCCAGAAAATGTAGAACCTGGGAAGCTGCACAAAGGACTCAAAGTGGAATTTCATCTTAACAAAGTGCTACTGATAGAGGCTTTCAAGTTGGCCAAAAGATACAGCCTTGACTCACGGTTCACTGAGACGCTATAGAATTTTGATAGATATCAATAACTGATATTACCTCAGCAATTTTAGATCTCCATGGTGTTCTGTGGGGATGAACGTAGTTTTAGTAACACCCAGAAAAGTCTAGAAGCTCAGCTTTACTCTCAATCGCTGATCTTTGATCTTTTCTTTTTTTTTTTAAACAAACAATTACAAGTCCTGTTGTAATGCATCTAACCTGTGCATCAACTTTTGTGTTAGACCAATCAAGCTTTAAACAGCTGCATTTCCAAATATAATTCGGACATCGCACTTAGGCTTCCTGGCCTTGTGGCAGATATGCCATCTTCAGGCTTTGAAACTACTTGGCAACCATCTGGTAAAGCCCTAGCCATGTAAGCCTAAAGATTGGTCAATAACCACCTGGCAACCAACCATGACCACAAGCAAGTTTACTCCTTCCCCCCCCCCCATCTACAATAAGAAGAAATAAATTGAAGGACTGAAAAAACTAACTAAAACTAATTTAAAAAAATGTTTTTTTAAATACTCAAGAATTAGATCAACTCTAGTAATCCACAGCAAAAAAAATCAGCAGATTGTCAGTAAATATTAAGCTCATTTGATAGGTAAGGACTGCCAAGAACAACAGGTGTTGACCTTATCACTGCAGGGAAGCTATAAAATCTGCCAACACATGTATTCTGACTCATCTGAATCAGAGCAGACGCTTACATTTACTCACTTTTGTGTCTTTAAGAAATAAAAACATCTAAGTTTTAAAGCAAATGTTAACTTTTTTTTTCTAAAGTCAACTCCAATAAATCAAGAAATGCAGCATTTAATTAAATGATAATATTATTTGGGTTATGTTTATGTGGACGAGGTTCGACTAGTAATATGACTTGTTAAAAGGTCAGTCTATTTACCCTCTCCAGGTCTTCTATCCTTTTCTCCAGACTTCCAGGTGCTGAAGCTCCTCCATCTCGGCCGTGGCGGTTGTGTCGCTGTCGGCTGTTACCGCCGGTGTCCTCCTCCAACCCCATTTGTGGAAAGCTGTTAGTAACAAACACAATATTGCTGAGCCTGTAAGTTGAATGCATCGAAATATTTTATACTTCACATTATACATGGCCACACTTCAAAAGAAAAGGAAAGTTAGAAAAAGAGTACCATTTGTGCTTGATTTCTACTTTTCAAAGTGTCCAGTAGTGTATTCACACTGAGGCCGTTTGAAGGTATGAATCATACCCACATTGTAAAACTTCAATAGGGATGACACAGCCATCATCAAAAGAGCAGGTGGGGAATATCTTCTGCGTGTTTGCTCTTTCAATTAGGCATGCACTATTAAAGCCCCTCTCCCTTTTTATTCCTTTAATGGAGAAGGCCATCAAGGATGTGCAACTTTGGTATAAAAAGGATTCTGATTAAGAAACAATTTATATATATTACAACTTCAAATAGGCTCAGGAATGGCAGTGGCAAGTTGTGCGTCCCTGCTGTTAAGCTGGTGGGGGGGTGGGGGGTTGAAGTTTTGTATGCAGCTCAAACAGAACATTAAACTTATCTCGTTTTCATTTTTTCAGTGCTTAGAGACAGAGTCTGGGGCGGCTGGGAATAGAATATTCATGTGCAGTCAATTTCCTTACTGACCTTAATCCAATAATTATTGAAGTGGAAACTGGGAATGAAATGCTGGCTCTATACATCATAACTACAACTACTCCCACTCCCCAGTAGCAAGAGACTATGACAGGTTTATATAATCTCCCTGGAAATAAAAAAACTTAGATTGTAGGATTCAGTGTGTTGTCTGAAGGGGCTGGTTGGCAGATTTCTACAGCTGAAACAGACAGGAAAGCTGCTGGCAAGACACAGGACCAATACCTCCTTTGTACCATCTGTACTCTTTAAGACCCGCCAGATATGAAGTCCGCATGATTAGACAACTTTAACAAGTACTGTTAACTCTGAAATCGTAGAAGCAGCAGTGGAAACTGAGTATAAACTGTTAAATTTGTTTATTTTTCTCCAGTGCTCAGTTTCATGGAATGCCAATATTTAAAAAAAAAAAAAAAAGTAATAGTAACCAGACAAGATCGGCTTTCTTGTTTTTGTTTTTCCTTTTGGCATGTTTAGTACATATCTGAAAGTAATAAGGCTGTAGTCTCAGCGCTCACTGGCTGGCAGGTCTAAAAACAGCAGTCTTGAGTTTTCTGCATAAGGATGTCCTCCCAACTTTTCCTACAATGTTCTTGTTTTTGAGTCTAAACATATCAGAATAATTCCACTATGTTTGGTCCAATTGTTTCATAGGTACCAGTGCATCCAACAACATGATATTGCTGGATGATATTGGGAGATTTCTCAGGATATGAGGCTTTTTAGCATTTTCTTTAAATAGTTCTTGTGCTGGGGCCGGGAGTTGATATAGTTCCATCTAAATGAAAAAAAATAAAAAGAGGGTGACACAACATCTGCTACAAGGGTAGCAGATGTTTCTGACTGCAAAGCCTTTCTTGCAAGGGCAACTGCTGACCTGCCTCCATTGCTACCAGGCTGCATTTTGCAGACTGGTGTGAAGTGAAGTCCAGGGAGCAGTTGAACTGATTTCCTCGGGAGATCTCCAAAGTAGTCACGGTGTAAGCAAAAGAGATATGGACCAAATAAACCAAAGTCTACCCTACATAATCCTCTCCCAGTTCACAAAGAAGTCCTTGAGGGTTTTACTTCCTCTAGATAGATCAAAGATTATTTTGGCATGAACTGGAACTGAATAAAGGTACAACAAAAACAGGTCTCATGACATAAATGGCTTAAAATCCTGCTCATGCATATAAATTCTTCTTTCCTCTATTGAAGCAGCAGTGCCATTTCTCATACACACGCACAGGCAGTATTTGTGTGTACCTTGACATTTACAGAACAAGCATCTTATTTTCCTTCATTCTCCCAGAGCCAACATTGCAGCGGCCAGCGCTTTTGATCAAGAGGAGTCCTTGAAATGCTCTTGCTGACGCTCGTCTGCAAGATAAAGGTGACTTCATTTGTCTCTCTCATTGTGGCTCTTCAAGGCAACTTTATCAGCGCACAGGCGCGGATATTGTGCAATTCGTGCCTTTGCTATGATGTCCCGGAAAAAAGATCCACGAGAGTCACACACAATCATCGCAAATACACGGACTCCCCAAGATGCACAGTGGGTGTTGAATCCAAGCCTAAACATCCAAAGCCTCTTCACTAAATATCACACCGTGGCACTTTAGCACCCCACAGGCTGAGGTCTGGGGGAGTTAGAGAGAGAGGCTAAGCCAATCGCACATTCTTGTGAGCCTCAGCAGGTGGGAAGGAGAAAGCACAGACAAGAGCACCAATAACAGCAACAGTCACAGGTAATAATAACATCTCCCCACAAACAAAAGTGTCAATGTGTGGAATGAGTCAAAACTTCACTGGAGGCAACAGCACACTGGATTCAGTCGTCTGTTTAATGCTCTCATTACTTTAAAGCAAGACAGTATAAAGCCAGCTTCCATGCAGAGCTGCTTTGAGCTGCTAGTTTACAGATGCAGTCACTCCTCAGTCATCTCAGTGGCTGCTGGGTTTACAGGCAGGCAGAGGCAGCTTGGTTGTGCTTTGGTTTCTAAATCTTCAATCTTTCAGGTCCCCTGCTTATGTAGTTTCATTCTTTTCCCCCCTTTGGAAAGACAGCACTTTAGACAGTGAAGATTTGTCACCACCAGAGTACTGCCCCTCATTCATAACACACAGCACCTGGAGCAGACCTGCCCTGCCAGACAGGATTTTTGTCAGTTTATGAAACACAAGTCAAAAGCATGGTCCCAACTGACCTGAATCATCGTCTTCTGTGGAGATTTTTCCACTGAAAACTCTTAGTGACTGATAGTGTTTTAGTTTTGCAACTCAAAAAAAGTTACTTAGTTTTTCTCTTTTATGCTTAAATGTAAACACATTTCCATTTTTCTTTTAGTTGCACCCAAATAAAATAAAACCCCTGGTGCATTCAGACTGCTCTGTGTTTCTCTCCGACTTCTCAGCAGGTGGGTGCATACCAGAGGGAGGCATTTGTGTCACTCCACAAGTTAATTTTAGCAAACACAGCCTTGACCTGGTGGCGGTTTCTCACATTATTTTCATAGATGTGTGTCAGCTGCAAAAGGGCTCTGATTCAAATTCGGAAGAAGCATCTGGAAGCTCCAAAAACACTGACGAGGAAAGATAATGCTAGTTTTTGGATTTTAGACAGTAAAAGGTAAAATCATTACATTTAAAATGTAGATGCATGGTAGGTTAGAATGCTCTGACGTGCATTTTTTGTTATATTGTTTATCTTAGTAGGCAAATTAATATGATAAATGAGATGCAGCTAATTGGATTGCAAATCAGATTTAAATTTAGTGTCATGTTACTATGAGTTTTTAAAAAGAAAAAACCAAATGGTCTGAGAGGGAAGTAAATCAGAGCGCCACATGTGTTTTTAAATTGTTCATTCAGCCATCTTGTGTTGCCCAGCCCACCTGGTGGGTTATCCGTAGCGGAACAGCTGAGTGTCCAAGTGAGGCTAACCCAGCTGATGAGAGCAGCAGCCATAATTACATGGCCAGATTGAATGTCAGCTGGTGAACCTGACTGTCAGGGTTGGCCACAACCGCTCACTTTAGTTGCAAATAATGAAAAATAAATGCATGGCGGACTCACGCTGAGGGACGTCAACTCTAAATGATACAATTTTCTGTGATGTACTTCATTATCATGGAAAATGAAGGGAAAATGCATTGTTTCAAGAGCCCCTCCCTTAAAAGAATACTAATTTTGATGACCTGTTTAGAAAGAACATCAAAAACCAGTAAGATGAATCAAAACTCAAAGTAGAGCTATTCCCAGGAGGTTTCAGTCCAAACTGAAACTGAAAGAGTTTTTTTAGGCTGTTTGAGAAGGAAAGGTTGAAAGCCATTTATCAAATGCCAAAGCAAACTTGACCAAACAGCACCTCTCATTTTAGAACCAAAACCTTTCAAAGCAAATCATTTACTCTGAGCACTCCCTGCCAGCCACAGCAGGGAAGTGATGGCCCGGACAAAGTGTCCAGGGTCCAGATGGTGTCCTGTCAACCAGAGTTCAAACGCATCATCTTTCTTGAACCATAATAGCAAGACAGTAGCAGCACTGAAGAGCAGGAAAAACAAACAAACAACAACAACAGTGACACATGAGGAAAAAGGCCCTCGGACTATTTCGGAGGAAATCTGCTCTCGTAATTAATTACTCAAACTGCTCTTTCTCATCCTGGCCTTTGGTGCTTCCCTTGACATATCACTAGTGATGTTATGGCAGATAAACTCCACTCTCAGTCGGGGTTAGAAAATATGAGCCTCACCTCTTGTAGCGGCCGCTTCCAGATCTTGGAGTCTCCTGAAACAAACAAACAAAGGAAAGATAAATGCTGCTAGTCCAAAAACTATAACTCAAGAGTTGCTTTAAGAAAAGAAGTTGACTTTTCTACAGTAATAATGATTTCAGAGAGAAACGGCAAGACATCTGGGTGATTTTGGTGTCATCATTATGCTTTGTTCATCTGCCTTTGGGTTGTATTGGTTCACCAAAAGAAAAAAAGGCATCTACAGGATGAGAGAAATTTATCAGGGGCGGCATTTATAGAAAGCCTTTAGGTTGTCTGTGAACCTTTGTGAATTGCAACTGCAGAGCTGATATATAGATAGGCTTTGTTGCATTTAATAGTTCAGGAGGAGCCCCATAGCCCCAAGAGGTGGAAGGCAATCTCATTTTTGGAACATGTAGTTGTATATTTATCTTATTGCTTCAATTATTGTGTGATCTAAAGGTTGTTTAAATCTTTGCAGCAGTGATGCTCCCCATAAAAAACGCTTTTGGTAAAGAAGCGATTCCCTGGAAAAAATGAAGTGTGTGTGAGATGAATACACATCTCCTCTTTCCTAAGGTCCTGTGCAGTGAAGGGTCCCGTATTTGATTGAGGAGCCTTGGCTTTGCTGCAATCTATCAGTCAGAGCTCGGCTTTTGTCTGACTCTCAGCATACAGCAGCCTCTGTGCCTCACTGACAAATCATCCATTACCTGTGGATGAAATCCCTCAACTTATCTCTTCCCTGGATCGATTTACAAAGATAGAAAAGAGTAAGAGGGCAAAATGTAGCAACAATCGGCCTTTAACTAAATAAAAGCACATCTTAGCATGAGGCCTGGTTGAAGTGGCACCTGGAATTAAGAGCAAATTAAAATAGGAGGTTGTCTTTTTGTAGGATTGTGTGTAAGCCAACAGCAGCCACAGCTGCTCCTAAAAGGCCAAGTCTACAGTAGCTGTTTGATCTTCTTCCTTCTTCATTAATAGTTGACTCTAAGGCAGACAGATGCTATTCTACTGCTGTACCTTCTAACTATAATACACAAGCCTCAGAAAACAGTGTTATAGAAAGTTTAGTTTAACTTCATTTTTTATACTTCTGTTTGATCTGAATATGGTCAGAAGACAAATTATCCATCGCTGTTTATGGAGCTATAATCGCCATTATTCTTTACTTCAACTCTGGAAAAACCATTTATTTTTCTGTCAGCCAAGCACACACACACACACACACACACACACACACACACACACACACACACACACACACACACACACACACACACACACACACACCTAAATGTAAATGTGAGTTTACACTCTGACTTCCAAACTCTAGATGTCCACAATATGCAACCCTCCTAGAAACAGTTTGATGGTGTCCAACGAATGTTGATTTTAGTAAAGAACATTTGCTTTTCCATTTTCCTAGAAATTCAGCTCATCCGATCCGGCGATGCGGCACGAGTTTCATACATCAGGTCCGCTGGCGTACAAATAAACTCTACACTGTACCAGGGCACATCTGGGTTAGAGAAAAAGCGAGACCATGTGACATCACTCCTGCAGTTTGTTGAAGAGCAGCAAACACACAGGGTAATGCAGTCTCAGGTGTGGCTTTTCAAAACTCGATGCAGGTGACACCCTCTGTAACTTTGTAGTGATTAATGCAAAGCATGCCAAAGCGACACCTTATTGAATGGCCCGAGTAAAGAAAAAATAAAAGAAATTGTGGCAGCTGCCAATGGTATCGCTCAGACTCCTCAGACACACCTATGGCATCAGTTTCAAAATCCTACGTCACCTTGTTATCGCACTCACAAAACTTCAGGAAATGTGACCTCTGACCTCAAGGTTAAGGTCAGTGAGAGTCGAACTCGTCCAAATGTTTTTTAGTAGATACGTCTATGGTATCAATTTAAGGCTCCTACGTGGCCTCCTTCTCAAGTTATCCCATTCACAAGTTTAGGCGTGTACAAGAAGATGAACCCAGGAATGACGACACTTTTAGTGAGACCCTGCGAGCCTTATCAGTATGAATATGAGGTTTGAATTTCATTTTTTGCAGAGAGCTATAGGTTATAAATATATTAAACTGTTTTGCTTGTTGCTTTTTTTTTTTTTTTTTTTTTTTTTTTTTTTTTTTTAAATCATTTGCTCTTTTGTCAGAACCTTGCACTGCTTCGCGATCCTGCACCACAGTCTAAGTACTCCAGACAGCTTTAGTCAGTAACACAGAGGGAACAAGTTATTTATTTCTACCAATATTCTTCTTTATGCCTGCTATAGTAGAAAATAAATAAATATCTTCCGTCTTTTTGGTGGATGATCAACAAGTTTGGTAAACATATTCAATTTAAATGTCACCATTAATTATCTGCAAGAATATGAATATTTAATGAGTAATCACAGCAGTGCGGGAGATGATCAGATTAAAATAACAGTACATTACAATAACACGACTCCAGGACCTTTAATACTGTTGGTAAGTTTTACTCTGTGATGTTGGAATAAAGGGTTGCTTTTAAAATTAAACTTTAATCATGTATAGTATTTCTGCACTGATGCAGTATTTGTCTTTGACTTTACCGCAACCACACCAAGCATTGTGAACCACCTGCTTGGGATACGAGTCTGCAAGACAGTGTAAATGTACAACTACTTCACTGCGCACAACACAAGCCTGTGTAACTTTATTTAGAATGTTCAAGCACCAGCGTCAGCTCCTACAACCCACATCGCAACGCTTACCAAGAATACACCGAGACAAACATCTACAGTAGAAATGAGCATTTTATCACTAGAATCGAGCACTCTACTTATTTCTGTGCTTTTGTAACCTGCTCCTTCTCCACAACACTCAACACCAGTTGGAATTTGTGATGAAACGCATTCAAAAGTCTTGGTTTGGACATTTATGAGCTGCTGTGGTCACAGATTTATGTTTTGGCAGCTCATTAAATTCAAAAGAAAAAAGAAAAAAGAAAATGAGAACATTTCTCAAGGATCAGCATCTCTGCCCATGAAAAGCTGATCTCTGGCATTCCAGCCAGTCGCCAAACAGCGCAGGGCTCAGTCGGTTTCTCTGCACAAAGCTGATAAAAATCACAATTTTACTTGGGGCATTCAATAAATCTGACAGAGAGAGAGAGGGAGAGAGATGCTCAAATAAGATGCATGATTGGCATTTTAAGGGATCCTGAGTAAACAGCAGCAAGTACTCAATGTGTTGAGATATTTGCAGGTTCTGGCTGCAATTACAAGCTAACATTTTTTATCTTACCGCTCTATTGTTATACTCAAGCTGTTTTGCAGTCCTCTCACACATTTTATTAAGATGCTAACCACACCTGGCTGTCTGGGTCTTTGATGCCAGCTGAAGAAATAGATGTCAAAATGCCAACCTGGAACATAAATTGAAGGCTGGAGATGAAAACAAGGCTAACCTATAAGCAGCGCTGTAAACAGTAGCAGAAAGTCATGTTAACCTCTTGTCCTCCCTTTCAGATTCCTAAAAGACCTTTTCTTACCCCCTAAAGTGCCTGAATTAGAAGTTAAATTTAAGGATCTTTCAAATTTAACTCCCCCATAGTTGTTGCTGGGAGCTTGCCTGTCAGAGATAAGCACTGGTGGTTGGCCCATATAGCCATAATCTTGAACAAACAAAGGTGTGAATGTTATCAAATACTATTTTAGGCTCTACAGTGAATTGCACTTTGCTGCTAACACAGCTCCTGCTGGAAACGCCATGTGACGGGTTGTGAACACTTCCCTGCTGCTCAGACATGATGCTCTGCATCAGCACTGCTTCTTGGTGTTGAAAGGTGATAATGAAAAATGCAAATGTGGTCCTTAAAGAGTGCTGGATGGAGATTGCCGGGGATATGCTTTCTCCAGGTAAAAGAGAGAGAGAGAAAGTGAGAGAGAGCTGAACTTGTCTGCCGTGAACCTGGCTCCTTAATAAAAGCAGAGGATCCAGAGGAATGTTCCACGTGGTTCTGGGCTGCTAGATCACTAGAACAGGTTTCCTTGTAGGACCTGCATACCAGAGGGAGGTAAGCCCTGATAACAAGGAGCACTTGCCTGCACTGGGTCTCTCTGATTATCATACTTATCAGATACATGTGCAGGAGAAGAACCGTGTGGGTCTGAGCTCTAATGCACACACAGTGAACACATCTCAGACTAATTTAAATGCATCATGGGTCCCTTTTATAAACAGAGGCATTGCTGAATTTGAAACATCTGAGCATCTCGAGCAGCAAAGAAATACAGCTTGTTTTGGTTGGAAAATGCTCTGAGACCTGGGAAGGCAGTTAGCAGCAAAACAGCTCTGAACAGAAGGTGAACGGAGCTTCTTTTCAAAGCTTTTTGTCCACATATCTTGAAACAAGCTAAGAGGCCTGGCCTGATGTTGTATATCATCATGGAACTGACACAGAATTTGATCAATGGCGCCCAAGGGGAACGGCACTATTTTTTATTTTTTTTTTAAACATGCTCCATCTTTGCAGATGTCTAACTGAGAGCTCTGCTATAAATCTGCTGATCGAATTGTATCCCTCCTGTTGTTTTTCCTCCAAGTCTGACTTCTTCTGAACAAGCTGGCACCGGAGCCCCATGAGAATAGAAATATCAATTTTAGATGAGTGACAGTGAGACATCTAATGGTTAGTTCCTGCATAGCCACATCTGCTCTGAGTTAGAGCTAATACGGAGATGGTGAGATTAGATTCAGCCCATGCATGATCGGGCATATTCTGCTCCAAATTATAAACCGAGGGTCCTCCCCTCTACAAAACTGGATGCGTGGCAAAGAGCTGATTCTACTGAACTCCCTGCTGTTTGTTTACATGTAGAACACTTTATGTAAACAGTCGAATCCTTTTTATTATTATTTTTTTTATTGAGGCCACATCTCAGCAGGTGCTGTCACAGTCTTCCTGTTAGTGTGGTTGTTTGTGTACATATTTCATGCACAAGCCTTTGCTTCGCGTAAATAGCCTCATACAGTTCCAGCCCAAAACAAAATAAGCCTGCTGATGCATAACAGCCAATCCATCTGGAATGCGTCTCCTCGCTACATCCACACGAGCTGTCACACAGCGGCAGAGCCATTAGATATTCCTATTTATTTTTTATTTCGTTCAAAAGCCGATTATCATGTCAGTCAGATGATTTTCGTACAGGATGTCTGAGTCGTCGGTACACAGCTGGATGCTTTCATATCCTCTCTGCACTCGAGGTTATATTGAAAATCAATGCATCTCCATTAGAAGAGAGTTTGAAATTACATACACTGGAATATGAACTACTGTTCTGGTGAAAGACAGAAGTCAAATTACCAATGTGCCATTATTTATTAAGGCTCCGTTTTTACTCGTTCATTTACATCCTCATTGTACAGAACACCTGCTGGACTCAGACAAAGACCAGACGGCCTCTGCAAGAGCTCACTTCTATTAAATAAACACAGATTCACTTGCCAAGATTAAAAGATTCAGTTTGTAGACATCAACAGTGTCAGGTTCACACTCTCAAGAACCAGACGCCTTCTACACAAACCAGATTCTGAAATTTGATGAATGTGGCCCTTCACTTTGTTGGCCCGAGCTCCACTGTGCTAACGCTAAGCGGTGGCGGGATGTGATGATCCTGTTGCATTTCCACTCACGTTCAGGACAAAAGCTAATCATTATCAGTTATCTTTTATTTTTGTTTAGTCTATAAAATAGCGCTCTACAAGTATTCACAGGCCAAGATAAAGTCTATACACTGCTATTTTTTCCCTGGACACTCAAAGATATTTAATTTTGCGCAAATGGAAAAGTAAAAAGGTGCACGATTAGGAAGGATTCCAGCCATACTAACCAAAAATCTCACAGATTTAACTTGGCCATGTAAGTCATCCTCTTGGTCAGCGCTGTACCACTTCCTGGGTGGTACACTTTTAACCACTTGAAGTTCAGTGATGTGTGCTGGATCTGCTCCGGTGTTTCAATCCAACGCCTCTAACTTATTTCAGAGGAAAACAAACCGTCAGGGAGGCACAGCTACTGGGAAGAGCAAGTTTTAAGCAAAGAGTGTGGTCTAAACTGTTTGTGCCAGTTCTTCCTTCCTCTAGTGTTGCAGGGTGTTAACAGCAGGACTGTGAGCTCTTCTGCTGAAAATTCATTGATTTTCTGGGAGGCCCAGTTCTCATTACAGTGCTCCCTGACCTGAAAGTCAGGCTGGTTTGACACAGAAGATGTTTGTCTCTCTAAAGTCCAAGTGCAACTGGTCTGAACAGGACTTCCAGAGAAAACAGCAGGAGCACAATAAAGAGGGAACTGATTTCCAAAAAAAAAGAACTTTCTGATTACACCTTGCATCTCAAGTGTTTAAAAAAAAAAAAGAAGAAAAAAGAAAAGAAAAAAAGAAGTTAATTAGACCACTAAAAAACCCAGACTTATGAGGAACTGTTGCACCAGCTGCTTTGTTTGTTACATTTTGCCTTTAACCTCTTTTTCCATTGATGATGAAACACCATGACACCTTTGTGTTTTGCAGCTTTTTTGCACAAACTAAGCATTCCCCGTGCCTCCCTGAGCTCTGAGTGTCTCCGTTTGGCCGCACTGATGTTACAATATGTAAGATACTCTGCTCAAAGACATAACAAGTGGAAAAAATGCTGGCTGTACTGTGGACATCCTGTGCTGAGGCTGATTTGCAAAATAAAAAAACAAAACTCCTTTTTTGTCATGTCACTTCTTACCAGTAAGTAGCCAGTGTCAGGGTCAGCTGTCATCGACTCATTCTGAAACGTGTTGGCCTGAACCAGCTCCTCCTCCTCCCTCCTGTCCTTCTCTCCGCCATCATCATCATCCAGCTCATCCAGGCTCTGTGATAAGGTGATGACAGATGAAATTAGGAAGTGAAGTGGACACAAACTATGTTTACATGCGCCATCTGTGTCAAGGTTGGTAAATTAAAGAAAACTTCATGCACACAGATCTAACATTGGTCCCATTTTACCAAATTTGCATCATATAAACAACTTCCTTGTTGGTTGCATAACCGTATATCGCACGAGGGTTGAGGAATGAGGAATCATTTGTGCATTTGTGTTTTCAACAGGCAGCTTGTCAGCAGCCAAACCTCTTCTCTAAGCCAAGGTATGTTTTTTTTTTTTTTTTTTTTTTTTACAGTATACAGATGATAAATATATTGTTTTATCTAAGCATCTTAACAGTGAGAGACAAAAACAACAGCTTCAAGTGTTCACCACACTCTAAATATTCACCCAAGAGAGATGCATGTGAGAACAAATCTCCTATAAAGCCAAATCAGGCCTTAACTTGTCCAAAAACAAAATGCTGAGTGACACACCGCAGGACAGCCTCCTGATGTTGGCCTTGTCGACTCACATTATTTGCTGTGTGTCAGCAAATAAAATGGCATTTACAGGTTTACTTGTTTTTTCTGAAGCAAAATTGGGGACAAACATAAGCAGAGAGTCAATTATTGGTGTCAGCATCAACTGTTAGCCACAGGTGTAGGTATCAGACCAGAACTTCACAACTGGTGCATCCCTGGTGCATTCACTAGTAGCAGGTGGGCGTCTTTTGTCCTGCCTCTGCTTGTTGCACAACAGAAGCTCCCTCACATTAATCCAGTAGTTTGAAGTGAACCATTTCCAGCTGTGTGCAGCATGTGCAAACTGAAAAGTTCAGAAAATGACTGACCTAATTATCACAATAATGTCAAGAATTCCTCTGTGAAAAAGGCTTTGGGACAGATTCTGTCTGACTTTTTATTATTTTGTATAAAAATATGCTCAGCTTGTTACTTTTTATACAATCTGCTTCTATGAATTCTTTATTCTCATCTGAAACTTTGTTTACTCTTCAAGATAAGTGTACAATCAAACCAACCCCACCCTCCAGTGCTTAACGGGTTGCTAGAGTCAGTCCCCCAGACAAATCCAACAGTAACTTCCTCATTTTATTGCATTTGAGTGCACTGACAGATGCGTGGTGACAAGCAAGGTCATTCCCACAGTAACAGCAATATTGACCTCTGGCTCAACACAACCAGGGTCTCCTCTTAATCCTCTTCAGACATGGTCACATTCACTTCCAGGAATCCCCCAGGAGCTACAGCTCAAACACTACCCTAATGCCAGATGGACTCTAGTACGGCAACAGGAAAACAGTCTGCACTCGACCTTTCACCTCTTGAGGACAAGTCAGGGGGGATTTTTAACCACTGGAATGTCCCTTGAAAACACAATAAAAGACACAATATAAACATACGGAGTGCAAACATCCCTTTGACAGAGGCTAGCAGCTTTCATAATCAAAGCAGAGAGCTTTCGAATAGTCTCGGAAAACCAACTTTACTTCTGATAATCTTAATTTTTTATTTTTATCTTAAAATATCTGCACAGCCCAAACTTCACACTGAGATGGAGTACGACAGAGTTACTGGGTTCATCTGTCAGGAGCGGCGGAGATGCATTGCACAAACACATCTCAACACTGACGGCCGGATCGTGACACGAGACAGAACGGGGGCCAAACTCCCAGAGGGGACAATGCAAACCAGGCTTTCCTGTTTTACACCGCAGGGTGAACAAAAGATGGCTGCCCAGCAGACCCTTCATCGGTAAAAATAGCCTTACAAGGTTAAAGAGGAATGCAGTCATTTGCAAGGCTTTTCCTGCCAAACTGTTTATCAGTTGTCCTTGGGGGAAATGCCAGTTCCTTTTGAGTCTCACTCAGAGCTTAATGCTAGCACTCTCCTCCACCTCACCGGTGCTCTCATCATCTCCCACACAGACACCTATGGAGGTATCCCACGATGGGGCATAATTAGGAGATTAAGAGCAATGAAATATGGAAAATGCCATAAAACAGAGTTCTGTCTGTGTCAACGCAGAGTGGATTGCGCAATGACTAACCACTCTGCTATGCACAAACTTTCCTAAAATGTGGAGTTGGGAATCTCAAAGTTTGTTTTGGAAAGAGATGGAGCCCACTTTGCTCTCTAGTATTCCAAATTGCTGTGCTTCTTTTTATTTCAGCTAAAGGAAAAGGGTATCTGTGCGAGTCCATATAAGGGGTGTTTCTGCTCCTGACATCATCATAGTGTTTATTTTTCTGGCCAGTTTCTTACCTTGGGCCAGCTGGGCAAAGCACTGAAAGTGCTGAAGGATGAGCGTCCAGGGCATTGACTGAATGCCTTGAGCAATGTATTTGCATTTCAACATTACACATAATTTCTTCAGCCCAAATAGCGTCACAGAAGTAATGCAATGTTCTGTAGCACCACTGTAGGGGCCTCGAGAGTCCCCCTCTGAAATGCATCACTCTCCACAAGTTTGTACATACAAGGACACACTTATAGCAGCCACTGTTGGCCTATTCTTTGCATATTTTAAAAACACTTTATATTTCTCTGTATACAAATGATATAATCTGGCGTGCATTTACCATTTTGCAGACAATTTTGTGCACACTTCACTGAGGCTAAAGTTCATTTATAACATAATCTAAATAAGTTAAGAAATTAAGAAGTGAAGAGCAAAGACACGTGTCCTCCCCCAAACAGTTTTGGAGAGTCGAGTGAATGCTGCCCAGCTGGGACCGATTATCTGCGGGAGAAGCACTTTTTACACAATACTAAACCCTAATTAAGATTAATTAAAAATACACTGAATGTTCTAAGATCATTAAATGTTGAGCCAAAATTTAAATGTACCAAAAGTCAAGGCACATACAGTAAACAGAGGTATCAGTTTGTGTACTGATGATATTAAAAAGATCATTACAAACTTCAGTGTTAGAGGACATCTCTCCAGAATCCTCTCTGCTTCCTGTTTACAACAGGACCAAGTGTCAGGGCGTGTTTACTTAAGAAAAGCACATATCCTGCTCCGCTTCAGCCTCCAGGCCTCTGACCGTCACTCTCCACATGAAGAATAAAAGAAGCTACATCTGGAGCAGAGCTTCACGGTCTACTGGAATGTGTGTTGTGGTTGGAAAGTTTCTCCGCAGGGAGGAAAATGATCACTCATCTATTCTGAAACTCCATCTCTGGCAGCAACAATGCAAAGGCTACAGTCTTTGTCTGCAGAACAGCAGGCTGTGTGCTTTACTTCCCTGCTCTTTAGCTTTTAAATGTTGGTCAAAGGGATGCTGTGTGATGGGAGAGGTGATGGGTTCCCAAACTAAAGTGGCTACTTTCAAATCATCCACATGAAAGACAATAAAAAAAAAAACCAAAAAAACATTTTAACTATAGTATGCTAAAGTCTATAATCATTATTATTATACACTGAATTTTCACATGCCAAATAGGTTGAACACATCATGATCTTGAGAGTAAGAGAGAGCTTAATCTAACAGAAGTAGCAGAAGCCTGCTTAATCTACTTAAGACATATTAAGATAAATGTCTTATTTTAAAATGCACAAAAAATAAAGCCTCAAACTGAGATCATTTTAGTTGGTTGAACACATGATTCAAGTTTCAAACCAAGTGTCCACAAAAAGCTGCTCAGCAACAGCTCAGCAGAGGTAGCTACAGCTGCAGTGACTTCCATGGCAAACAATCTGTACAAACTCACAATCTGTATTCAAGGGAGAAATGTGTACAGTGTGTCACTCGTCCCGTCTTCCTCCCCTTAGCCCCCCATGGCTGTTCTTCCCTGAGCCTGGTTCTGCTGGAGGTTTCATCCTGTTAAAAGGGAGTTCTCCCTTCCCACTGTCGCAAACTTCATAAAGGGGGTTGTTTGATTGTTGGGGGTTCTCTGTAGCATTGTAGGGTCTTTATTTTACAATAAAAAACACCTTGAGACAAAGATAACCCAAGAAAATTTTTAAAAAAAAAAGCAGTTTTTAAATGATGATTTCATTGATTGAGGAAGAAAAGATAGATATGTGGATTAGTCAAATTCCTGACCTGAATCCAATTGAGATGCTGTGGCATGACCTTAAAAGGGTGGTTCATGCTCGAAAACCTTCCAATGTGGCTGAATTACAACAGGTCTACAAAGATGAGTGAACCACAATTTCTCCACAGTGCCGTAATGAGACTTTTTGCGAGTTATCACAAACACTTGATTGGAGTTGTTGCTGCTAAAAGGGTGGACCAACCAGTTATCAGGTTTGGGTTCAATCACTAGTCCACAAAGGGCAATGTTGGTTTGGATTTTTTCCCCTTTAGTAATAAACACCTTCAATAAGAAACTTCACTTTGTGTTTTTACTTATCTTTGTCTAATATTTAAATTAGTTTGATCTGAAACAAACCGTTCATCCAGACGTAGCACAAAACGCTACGTCCGGATGAACAGAATCAACTTTTGGAGACTGCACCACAAAATGTCTGAGCTGCAGGAGGGCCTGGATAGGAGGGTCCCAGGATGACCCCTTTACACGTTTTGGCTTCACTGCATGTTCACCTTTTAACCGTTTTGTTTTGGCACGAGATAGCCTGTCCCTTTTACTTCCACTTTCTCATACTCTGTGCAGATCCAGTCTAAACATACATTCTGTCAAACTGCCAACAGCTCGACCACTTAGTCCTCAGATTTACCTCCAAACAAGCAAAGGGCAGCTCCAACAAAGGCACGCTCGTATACAGCAGACTTAATGACTTCTGTGTATTAATTACCTGCCACTTGCCACAGCACAGTGACTTCATTAAGATGATCTATTAGGGAAGAGGTAAACTGGCACACCGATGCCCACTGTCTTTTAATCAAGACTGCCAGTCAAGCTCAGGTAATGGGCACAGACAGGCACAGCACTGCGCTCAGGTATGGCAGAGATCAAAGAGAGCACATCCGCCCCGGAGCTGCAGGCTGATTAATGTGACACCACCGACTTGCCAAGGTC